CCCCCCCCCCCCCCCCCCCCCCCCACCACCACCACCCCCGCCCTTTTCCGACCCTTTCGCAGGTTGAGAAGGCAAATGATTATGAAATCATTTGGTTCGGTTCGTAATCCGCTTAATTTGGATCTCCTGCAAATCAATTCACATGCAGACAGTACTTACATTTCAGAAATATTTTTCCCGTCTTATCATACGATCTGTAGATCATTTAGAGATAACTGTGTTATGTCGGCTGAATGTTTTCTGGCTTTAAAGTCATTGGGTCATTTAACGTCATAGTGTCAGTTCACGTTCTTCACGCTTTTTAAATAGTCTATTTTTTTCCATAGATCTCGTTTGGAACTGATATCAGAATGCCCAACATGAGAAATATATCATATGAAATTGATTCCTACTGGAATCAGCCTGATTCTAACCAGACCTTCAGTAGCGTGCCTCTCATTGGAAAGCCCGAAGCTATTTTCTGGTGCAGCCTCTTTATCATGGAAGCCGTGCTGATTGCCGCAGGAAATCTGCTTACAACGTTTGGTTTTATCGGGAGCAGGAAACTCCGCAAGAGGCGCTACTATCTAATGATCAACCTTGCGATAGCAGATGCGCTGGTGGGGGTTCTAGCCATGCCACTGTTTATCGTCCCCCTTGGAACGTCTCTCAGAGTGTGGGGAAAGATATCTTGGATTCCTGGTGACGTCAGTTTGTTTCTCGACATGTTTTCAGGCTTCGCCTCTATTGTGTTTCTTGCTATGATAGCGCTGGAACGACTCTACGCTACCTTGCGGCCCTTCAACTATCGCGCCCTGAAGTCGCGCTGGTACGTCCTCTTCACTATCATAGCTTGGATGGCCGCGGGATCGATCACGTCCCTTCATCTCGCGATGATCAAGTCTCCCAATACCTTTGTCTCCTCGACTAGTATCAGCGCTGCTATGTGGATCCCAGTCCTAGCCGCGCTGCTGCTGATTATCAGCGTCTCATACGCAATCATCTGGAGGAAAGTGAGAATTGTTCACAAGAGCGTCAAGCAACGACTGGTGGAGAAAGAGTCTTCATTGTCCCGTATTTGCCTTCTTATCACAGCAGTGTCCCTGGTCGCCTGGTTGCCCTTCGTCATTGTCAATATGGTGTTTGAATTCACTCCTAGCCATACTTTTCATTTCCACGTATTCTATATTACTAAGATTCTACATTATGGTAATTCCTTGTTGAATCCAGTCCTTTACGTGTTAAAGATTCCTGACTTCAGGGCAAGTTTGCCAAATTTGTGCACTAGAAAAATTGCTGCTACTAGTTCAAACGAGCTAAGTGTACCCCAGTCAGCTCGCCGACGACGTTGTGAAGAGGTTACTGGCAATCGTCGAAGTTTTCGCGAAGAAAGGGAGACCTCTTCGCAAGAAATAACTAATTAAACATTCTTTCTCTAAATTATTCATCAGCACAGCTGTAAAGGAAGGACTAAAGTGTTGACTTATTAAAGGAGCATAGCCACAGTGTTTTGATTTGTTTTAGCCGCGTTCAAAATTACCTTTACATTGCAGAAATAGTCGTTTACTAAGATAGTAAAACACCAAAGAGATAATTATATAATAAAACATAAAGCAACAAGTACGGTGAAGATTAACACGGATTACAAACAACGAACTTCGAACATTCAGGCTAAACTTTTCAAGATGCGCAAGCCGTGGCGTAGCTCGTTTAAAGGCTCTAGATCTTCATTTTAGTGACGGAGAATGCCCCGAGCATGAGACTACGTACCAAAAGATTGTTTGTTCTGTTCGGCAACCAAAGTAGCGCGTCAGTCTTATATTGCTTTTCCTACCGAATTTGCACTCATCGTTTTCACTCCTTACTTGTAACATTCTTTGCAAGGAATGGATTAAGTGATTGATAGACTGGCGCGTTCTCTTACAGCACTATAAATACCTGAATCTTACTATATAGTAATTTGCTGTGCGATAAGAATTTTTCTCCAACGCGGAGAGCTCCTCATCGAGCGGAGGACTGGCGAGTAAAGAGAAATAGACCGCGTAGAGACTGGGTAGAGGGGCAAATAGGCGCTTTTTTTTTTCTTTTCTCCCCGTTTGATTTTTCTCTCGTTTTACTGAAAGGATAAAACCTTAGGTGGCACGCACTATTCACTGTAATGAGACCTTCTGAAAGGTATAGTTGTGGTACTATGTTTCTCAATTTTGGGCATCCAAGATCTAAGGAATCAGGCCAAAAAAAATGACGGATGAAACAGTGCATGAGGAATATAAAAAAACATCAGAAAGAAATTAAGTTTTTGCTGCTCGAGTGGTAACAGATGTGTTGGTGTGATTGTAATTATGAGCCATATTGCATCACATTTGATTAAAATTGTACTTTGTGAGTTTCTCTGTCGCTTTTTTTCTTCCTAAGTTGTACAAGAGAAAATTGACCTTTTTGGCGATACGGCAGCCATTTTGAATTCTATTGTTCCAAATAGCTATTATGAGATGCTCAGGGGGCAACTAATATTGATTTGTCCCGTGAGCATCCCATAATAGGTATCTGAAAACAATGGAATTCAAAATGGCCGCCGTATCACCGAAAAGGTCCATTGGCCATTTCCGTGTGAACTTCGGCCTCTGTTTCAAAACGAGTCCTCATGCCAAACCTGTCATTTAAAAATGTGTTTGATTTGCATGAAAATGAACCTGCAGGTGGAAACATTTTCATATGAATGGTTTCGCACGTCAAGACTCGTTTTGACACAGTGGCAAAGGGCAACTCGCAAACGGTCTATTAAATAGCATTTATTGTAGTCGGGAGCCACGAAATTCGTATAAGACTTAGAAAACATGCCGCCATTTGTAATAAAATGGGACAGTTTAAAATGCACACCTTCTGGACCAAATCGAATGCCATTTTATTGCTGCATGTCTACACAATACATTAGCTCAATACATTGCTTTTAATGCCAGGTGATTGTGTGATGTAATTTGATGGTGAAACCAAAAAGAGAAAACACTTCAATGCTCCTATCAGCGTCCAGACGATACCTCTGATTGGTTGGAGTGACAATGATTGAGAGTATCATATGCACACCGCACTGGAATATTATCTCCATTAGCACCTTTGTGAAAATTGTCAGTTTTCCTTCTCGTGAATATAAAGGGTAAAAAATATCTTCTTTCGTTTCGGAAAACAAAAATACTAAACACATGCGCTGGCTTATCAGCCTGGCCGTAAAATATGATCGTTACCTTGCAAGGTAAGTTTTCCGGTTATTAAACTGATCCTAAACGTATAAATCTTCAACCTAAAAAAATCATTACACAGCTGAGAAATCTCAAGGTCTTCTCTTATTTTGCCATTTAGTAAAGAATATGTTTTAGGAAAAATAGGCTGTCCATGATCAACGATTAATAATTGATTCTATGGTATGATTCGCTGTTTTCTGAGATGAGAACATTGTAGTTATTTCTAAAATTTGTCTAGTGTCTACCGCCTCCATAATTACATGAGTTAGGGAGACCTTTATTATTTTAATAACCATTTAGACCGCATCTTAGAATTGTTTGTTTTTTTTTCAATTCGCCATCAGATTTTCTTTTTCTCAGCAAGCTCTTTATTTTTCGCTTTAATCTTAGGTTGTTTTGTTCCATGGATCTCTATTTGCTTTATTTATCTAAGCTTATCTGCGGTGCGGAGGTTAAGCAACTGCAAACGGTCCTATGTAATCAATTTTGCGGCACAGAAGCGGAAAGAGGGGTCATTTTCTTGACCTAATATACGACTCGATTTTTCATCGTTTTATAAATAGTGATTGCTCATCAATCACTGATCATTATTCGAATATAATGCGGTATCTCCAAGACGGACGTGCATTTCCGAATTTCGCTTTCGAAAAACAAGAACAACATGATAAGAAAGTTATCTAGCAAAATTAGTCCAGTTTTTATTATTTTTAAGACACTTCGTCGTGATAGCCCACTGTGATTAATTTTGCCTCGTGTTGTTGTGTGAATTCTCTTTATCTAGGTCGCTACTCGTAGATAATACTGACAACAGGACCGACAAAAGGTGGGAAAATCTTTTGTGGTTTATCTTCCAAGTTTAGTTACTCAGTGGTCAAAATGCGTTCAAACACCGTTGCAAAATTTTCACTGGTACTACACGTTCATATAAACACCGGATATTGAAGACTTCCCAAACAATACTGAAAATAAGACTGTGCACTGTGGTAAAAATTAATATCGCAGTCTTCGAATATTTATAAACATGGCTTATTTCTCTGTTGTTTTTTATGAATAAATCGTCAATGTGCAAAAAATCTGACGTGTTCGGATACCTTGCTGAAATCGACAAAATTTAATTGTGTGTTTATGAAAATCAGCTGGACTTTTGTCTTGCTTGTTAAATTCGAAATGTGGGAACCAGGAGTGCGTGAGGTATGTTCAATTTACGTTTTATATCATTGTTAGAGTGATATGAAGAAAACGTTGAACAAAACATATCAAGATGACAAGATATACTCTCGGTGCCTGTGGCAAGGTGTTATGTCTAAATTACGCCGCCGAGAATGAGGAAAATTACGTCCTGTAGTTTATAGTTTACAATTAGATTCACACTCAAAGAGTGATAAACAAGGTCATAGAGGCTGAAGAAAGTTTAGAAATTCAGCAAAAATGAGTATGGGTGTGCCGGATTACGAAATAAGAAAGGTCCGGTTAAGCAGACCAAAGATTTTTGACAAGAAAATCTTCGCTCAATGTACTGAGACGGAACATCAAATTATAATATAAAGAATCGACGAAATTGGACGAGGTTTGCTGTAGTATAATTAAAAATAATCAAATGTTTCTGTTAATTGCGCAGTGTATTCCATAAGTAATGTAGTTCATATTTCCTGTTTTTTTTTATGAATTCTCCAAAGAAGACCCTCCCTGGCGATGTATATGATATATGTCTAGTATAAATATAGATTCAGTTCTGCAAAAACCCAATTCAAGATGTTCTCTGTATAGGTCGTTCGCCTCTCCTGTTCATGGTGGAATAAAAACAAAACTTCAATATAAAACATTTTAAATTAATTAAATGAAGTTGAGTGTAAAACGGTTTGGGTTATGTTCCGGTTATCGCAATCTATAATGTGATAAAAAAAAAAACCTCCGAACCATTTAATAACATTGGATGTAAAACTCATCGATATGCGTCACATTGGCGAGATCATTTTCCAGTTTCCAAATACAGGATATTGAACTTTTCTGTGCTGGTAAATTAACAGCACTTCAGCCTAATGGCATATAAAACTTATTACGTGATATAAAGTGATATACTTCCTAAGATATTGATTTATCTGCAACAAAAATTTCAAAAGCTTCTTGGAGCAGATGTTCTCGCTCCACTGCAAAATTTGTTCACTGCTTGAAGGGCTTTTGTTTTGAGATACCATTCGTGTTAGTCCCGAGAAGAAATTAGTAAACATTGCGATATTCGGCTAATTAGCCAATCATGAGGAAAGGGTAAAATACACAAATTTCCATGGCAATCTGGCAGGTTTTCAAACTATTACGGCTGCAAAAGACCAATATTAATAACTCAAGGTAAGATAAGATATTTTCTTTCGTTTGAAATCCCGGCCCCGTCAGACCAAATTTTTATTTGTTTGGTTTTGTTTTTTTTCTCTTGGAGGAGGGGGAGATATCCTTTGACAAATATATACTATTATAGTTTGGGATGCTGTTTTCAAGGAAGCTTTCACTTGCTGTTTAGCTCTCCATTCATTTACCGATAAATTTTCCAGCGAACGTATTTCATCTACACATCTCTAAGATTTCATCGATAAGTTTCCAGTTAACTATTAATATGTTTACCAAAAAACTGTGAGCACTTTTCAACCAGGCTATACAAACACTATTTTTCCATTCGATATTCACTTAAAGCAGAACATTAAAAAACGGATTGGTTTATATGATCTTGGAACAAATTGTCCTTGGTTTATTTCTTATGACTGATATGATCCCTCGCGTGCTACAATTTTCGAGTGAAGGTCGGACTGGGCACTAGTCAGGTAGTCAACTTTTCAGTGGAGGCTTACTCTCACGCATAAACACGAACAACAAATGAAAACGGTCAAAGATAAAAGGTGCTCAATTACACCCATTAAAACAATTTTTAACGAGGTAACATGAAGGTGGCAAGTGAATATTTTATCATTTGAAATTCTCAAAAAATATAAACCTAACAAAATTCTACCATGGAGTGTCTTTGCGCACAACTTACAAATCGGTTTAATAACAATATTTGATCACTGAACCAGTAAAATGAATACGTTCTCTGCTTTGGTCCTTGGTCAAGTAAATTTAATCAAATATGACCGCTAGCGGGAAATTTTGATTAAAATGACAACAAATTTGAGAATAGGTGGCCACTGCCCCAATAG